AACGAGTTTCCAGTGAATCTTACACTTTTTGGTTAGGAAAATTTTGTATTTTGTTAATGGACAAAAATAATACACAGATAAAAATGGTAAAACGAATAAAGTAACTTTTACTATACTATAAAAGTAAAACCTCAACTATTCGCAGTTTCTGCGCATTTCCGGCAATTTTTACTCCATAAATAGTAAAATTTACTATTTCAGGAATAATTTTTACTATTTCAGAAGTAAATTTGACTATTTTTGTAATATATTTGACTATTTATGAAGTAAAAATTGCCAGAAATGCGCAGAAACTGCGGACAGTTTAGGTTTTATTTTTAAAGTAGTAAAGGTTACTTTATTCGTTTTTCCATTTTTCTTCGTGTGACGAATATTTTGAAAATTTTACCTGATTTTAAAAAACGGCTAACGCAATTGAATTCTGCGTACCCAAATTAGATTAACAAAGTATATGCCCAGTTTGTTCATTTTTTGAACTAGCTCAAAATCAGTGTAATTTAAAATAAATTCTAATGTTCAAAAAATAGAATACAAAAACTATTCTATTTAAAAAAAAAATTACATTGATCGGCTTACATGAAAAGAAAATGACGTCTTCAGGTATAATTTGTTTTCACTATCAATCAATCGATCGTTTTCAGGTAAATCATTTGAGTTTTATATACAATCAATATTGCATCTTTAAAAAATAAGTGGCTTCATTCTCATCCCTCTTTATATATTTATATATATATATATATTATATATGTGATATGCCAGGAATCTGCATAAGCGATTACATTTATAGCGCGCGGTGCAAAACGACATTGCGTTGAATTTAATCGTTAATTGGTTCTCACGCAGATTTCTCCCCTATATATACCCGATTTGAAAATGTATTTATCTTCATGTCATCGAGATATGCTGTAATCGCAGTAGGTACAGCAGGTTATCGATTTAACAGTTTCAGATTTATTTTGTATTTTTGTCTTTACATATATATAAATATATATTATATGCATTCATAAATTAGAAAAAATATTTAGGGCCAGTTTTACCAACTCAGGTTAAAAGTTAATCCGCGATTAAAGCCAATTTAATCGCTCATGATTGGTCGGTTAAGGGTTTAATCGCTTATTAACTTTTAACCGGAGTTGGTGAAACTGACGCTTAATATCACAGGGTGTACAGAAATTTTTGAAAGAAAAATATTAGGACTTTTTCAAGGTCCTAACCTAATACTTTTTTAGCTTCATTTTTATCTGACCTAATTATTACTTAGCCTAAACATCATTTACCTTAATTATCATTTGAAATAATTTTCATCTGGCCTCATTATCATTTCACAGAAAAAACGAATGATAAATTTTGTTGCGGGTAATTATAACCAATATTAATTCACATAGACGGTGGCGCCCCAACTAGACTAAAATTTGTTGCAGTTAATTTTTATGCCGATTTTGGGGTAAAACTTAAACTAATTTTCATTTGATCTAATCATTATAAAACCTAATTCTCATTTGGCCTAATCTTACTATAACCTAATTATTATATTTGTTCTAATATGTATCTGACCTAATTCTCATTTGGCCTAATTTTACTATATCCTAATTGTTACTTGTTCTAATATTAATCTAGCATAATTCTTAATTGGCCTAATCTTAATGTAACCTAATTCTCTTTTGGCATAATCCTCATTTGATCTAATACTCACTTGGCCTAAACTTCATTTACCCATTAGGTTAAGTGAGGATTAGGCCAAATGAGAATTAGGTTATATTAAAATTATGCCAAATGAGAATTAGTATAAACGAGGATTAGAATTAATGAAGATTAGGCCAAATAAAAATTAGGTCATATACAGATTAGGCCAAATAGGTCAAATAAGTGTTAGGCAATTTGAAATTTGGAGAAAATTCATGCGCCTCCAATAACACTTATAAGAAAAAGAATAGAACTAGAAAAAATAGGAAAATTTTTACTGGGCTACGGGAAAATAAAAATATTTTCCTGTATTTAGCATATATTGAATGAAGAAATCGACAAGTGAGAGAAATTTTATCAGGCCAAGTGTTGTTAAAACTTTAGTTAATCACGAGCAAGACATTGGTCACACACTGGTTCTCGTTGTTTTAATTCACGAATGGCGTTCACCCATGTTCTTAAATTCAAATGCATCTTTTTTTTTTAAATTACTCCTTCGCACTCACATATGAGATTTTGTATCCTTCTTCGTTTCATTTCTTCTCTCTGTTTTGTCATTGACTTTGCCAATTCTTTCGTATGTATCTTCTGTGATTTCTTTTCTTTATTTTTTTTTTTTTGTTGAAATGTATTTATATACATCTTCGACCTTCAATACATGTATCTCCATCGTTGTATCGCGAAGCTGAAAACTCAATTACAGCTTAATGAATTGGCGACCCGAAGGAGAAAATAAGAGAGGGACTGAAGAAGAGAAGCTCTCGCGCGCTAGTCATCGGTTCGTAATGACTTGGACACGCCATTGCACTATCTTCTCTTAAAGTATAATTTCATTACAATCGCGCGACATGCTTTTCTATATCTAATACAATGTGTCGCTAATGATTGTTTATTCTCATAAATTAATTAGCCACATTTTTTAGAAAAAAAATTAACTCGAATTTTTTACTATCATTTTTTTCTAAATCAGATCGTATTATTTTAAATTATTAATCATTTTTTTCGACAAATGTTGGGTTAATGTCATTATCAATCTTTACAGAACTAACCTTTTTTCCGTTTCCGAATTCCACTTTTCACATTCCGAATTCCACATTCCGGATCACATTTACAAAATTCCGTATTTCAGATTCCACAATCCGGATTTCACATTCTGGATTCCAAATTCCGGATCCGAGTTTTCACTTTCGTATTCCACATTCCGAATCCCGCTTTTCCCATAGCGCATTCCGGATTCCACTTGTCAAATTCTGTATTCCAGATCCTATATTCTACATTCCGTATTCCACTTTCAGAATGTAAGATATGGAATTTGTCATTTTGAAAGTGGAATCCGAAATGTGAAATCCGGAATGTGGAAAGTATAATCCGGAATATGAGATTCAGAATGTAGAATCCGGAATGTGAAAAGTAGAATCCAGAATTTTGAAAGTGGGATCCGGAATACGGAATGTGGAATCCGAAATTTTGAAAGTGAAACGGAATTTGAAAAATGGAATACGGAATCTGAAATACGGAATTTAAAAAGTCGGATGCGGATTTAGGAATACGGAATATGGGATCCGGAATACGGAATTTGAAAAGTGGAATCCGAAATGTGAAAAGTTGAATCCGGATACGGAATGTGGAATACGAAATGTGGGTTCGGAATTCTAAAAGTATGTTTAATTATAATGTTTTTTAATAAAAATTAATTTTTATGCATTATTTTCAAAATAATTTTAAAACTCTTAACAAAGCATTGTGTTTATTTATTACTGTTATTATTATTTATAAATTAAAGTTTAATTTTTTTTAATTATAAAAAAAATTCTCGTGAAAATTAATGAATTAGCGTAGTTTAATTTAAAAATTGATAAATTCCCCCTCAGCGATATTTCACTGCAAATCAGTGGAACTTCACTGATTCAAATTTAGAAAGTTTATTGTAAAAAAAAATTTATCATACACGCACACTTATTTTTTTTATCACAGTGTGATCATATATGTAAGAAAATGCAAAACACTGTGGGTTGTTTCTCTGATTATCCCCGTGACGTTTCCAGGCGTAAACTACAGTATTTTATGGATACGCGCATTTATTGCTTAATCAAAAGGTGGATGCACAGTACAGTATCGCAATTAAATATCCATTACAAAATGTCTGTATATAAAAAAAATCGTAACTTTGCCGTGAATATCGTGTTTCGCCGCACAAGTGTATACGCTCATGGTAAATATATTTCCTGATACCTAGATCTTCTTTTTCCTGCGATGATTCCCGTGATGTTCGGTATCCAGGAGGGAGTATAGTCATCTCATAAAGATGCAATAATTGAATTAAGTTAAAGACATAATCAAGAAATTTAATCTTCCTATACTAGATTTCATTAGAAATTTTCCTCTTTTTTTTTTGTTTCCTCACAAAAATTATAATTTATTTTACAGAAACTACCTCATGCAAGTAAAATTAACTTTACACATAAAGTACGTAAAATACTTCAAAAAAAAAAGATACAAAATCTTGTAAAAATAAAAAAAAATTATAAAATAATGATGAATTTCTTAAGAAAACATAAATAAGAAATCATTATTACTACAACAAAATCGTTAAATACAGAAAATAATTTTCATATATAAAATAAATATTCTTTACTGATATAATAAAAAAAAATCGAATCAAAAATGAAATTTCAAAAAATAATGATAATAATAATTTCTCAACAACCTATAAATAAATTGTTTAAAAATATTACCTCACGATGAGGATTTATGAACCATTTACGAATGTAGGTGCAAAATTGATGTAAGAACTGTTTATCTTCTTTTTTTTTGTATTTTCTCGCATCTTTCTTCCCAACAAACTGTAGCCGGTTAATGTGAGATAAGAAAACCTTTCGGAGGCGGACAGGACCATAAAATTTGTCAGTGCATTCTCTGTATATAAAAAAAGCCGCGCCGCGCAATACGCCCAGGTGAAAATTTATAACTGATGGCGCACGTTAATGCGCAAAAATATTCTAAATGTAATAAACTCGATTTTATTTATTTTAATTATAAAGACAGGTAAGTAATAATTTTCTTTTTTTTTTTTGGAGAGAGGGGAAAAAAATTCCTCGTATAAATTTTTAACTCATAAAGAATAATGATATAAAATCTTTTTTAAAAGTGAACTTTTATAAATTGAATTTATAAGTATAATTCAAGTTATTCTTTTACATATTTTATCGGTTATGTGTGTTAAGCGTTATAATTATATAAACAGGTTTTATTTATCTATTCCCTGGCAAATGCATATAAAATGCTTTCAGCAAATTTAAAGGAGTTTACATTTTTTTTAATCATTATAACGCACTATTCGTGCGGCAGTAGATCAACTTTTAATCTTCATAGGCAAGTATTTTTGTCACTTATTACTAAAAATTGATTAATATATCATAAATTTTAATAATATTTATAAAATTATGTTTTAATTTAATTATTATTTTTTTAAATTCTTAATATTATAGATAAAATAAATTATGTGTTTTAAAAATATAGCTACATAGTCTCTAAATTTGAATTAGTATAAGAATTCGTTCTCTAATTTAAATTAGTGAAAATTTCTACTAATTTTTAAACATTTTTTTGCTAAAACTTTCGCAAAAAATTTAACTAAATTAAATAGTAATTTATACTAAAAATTAGTGAACAAATTCTTACTTAAATTTAGAGAGTACGAAACATTAAAATATGTTTTGTACTCAATAAATAAATATTTCTCTATTAGAATCAAATTTAAATCCTGTAATAAAAAAGACAGACATGACACTTGTCACATAAGTCCTATCAAAAAGTGCCCCACACATTTTTTGTAGGGAACTTTCTCTAAAATATACCTCCTGTAGTATTCCCGAAAGGTTAATTTGAAAATTTAAAATTTCGATAATTTTTAAAATTGTAAAAAAATTTATTTAATTCAAATTATCCGAGGGGGACTTTACTCAGGTAGTCAACTGTACACGTTTTTAACTATAGTAAATTCCCCCTCGAAATTATCGATTACTTGACTATTATCAAATAAATATTTATTTGAACCAAGTAATTTTTATTTGAATTAATATATATTTGAAACAAAAATTTCTGTATTTGAAACATTCATCATTTAATTGACTCAAATAATATTTATTGAATAAAACAAATATTTGATATTAAGTCAAGTAATCGATTTACCGTCACCTTTGCTTCAGTAATCGTCACATAAGTAATTTGAGAATTTAAAGCAATGTATTTAAAAAATTATTATTATTATAATTTATTATTTGTACACTGAAAAAAAATTCTAGTTAGAATAACCAGAATTCTAGTTAGAATAACCAGAATTCTGGTTAGGGTATATTTAACATTTTGATTCTGGTTAGGTTAACCAGAATTCTGGTTATTTTAACGAGAATTCTAGTTAATTCAACTAGAATTCTGGTTAACATAACTAGAAAGTAATGTTAAATATAGCCTAACCAGAAATTTTTTTTCAGTGTATAAAAATAATTATTTAAAATCAAAAAAACTATTTGTTTTAGAAAATATTTTATGTAATTTTCAATGAAAGTGACGGTAACTAAAGCAGTGACGAAGACTGGGGCACTTAAATTTAAAAAATTCGATTTATTACATAGAAATTACATATTCCATGGACCTGATATAATTAATTAAAATAAATTGTAAAATATTTTATTATTAAATTGTAATATAATAAACACGAGCTCTTAAGCGCGCTATCGATTACAATAATTTAAATAGAAAAAAATATTTTTATACAGTACAAAATATATTTTTAATATTTCATATACATATACATTTTTTATGCTCGAATACTTTTAATTTATTTTCTTATCTATAATAATGTCGCGTGCACAATTATTGTATGTAAATACTACCATAATTTTTTAAAAAAGATATTATATATACACAATGTATATTTTAAAAAGTAATTTTAAAAAAATGTTTTAAAATTTTTAAACTTTTTTTTTGTTTATATTTATTAATTATGTGAAAAAATGCATTCTTCCACAAAATTAAAATGAAAAATCATGTGTTTTTGTAATAAATAAAATATATTTTAATTTTTGCAGTAAAACATTAAAAGATTGTCAAAATGAATCTCAGATTTCTTTTTCTTATTTTTCTGGGATTTCTTTCAACCGGTATAAGTCAAAACTTAAATAAAAATACAACATTGGAAGAGGTCTATCAATGGAAATATGTCGACTATGAATATGATAGTCAAGAGAGAAAAGATGAAATTCTTAAAAACGGCAACTATAGTAAATCAAAAATATTGATTACAAATTTTTATTTAGTTCCAGGTATCAATATTAATAATTGTAATTAATACAGAAAGTCTTAAAAATAATTACTTTAAATTTTACTAAAATTTAAATAACAGATGGACGTACTTTTGTGACTCTCAATAAAAATGATAAATCTCCTGTGACACTAGCAACGGTGTCAAAAAATCAATCCTCAAGTGGACCTTTATTAACACCATATCCAAATTGGCAATGGCACGTGAGAAAAGATTGTTTCGGAATATATAGAGCAACTAGTATTCAAGTAATAATTTAATATTCTCAAATATTTAGAAGTATATGAATTTATAGTGAATTATCTGCGAAGTATCGTGAAATATCCTAAAATATCTTAAAATACTGTAAATTATTTTGAAATATCTTGAATTATCTAGCAGTATTTTGAAATATTTTGAATTATTCTGAATTATATTGAAGCAATTTGAAGTATGCTTTATTATCTACAGTATCCAAAATTATCTGAAGTGAAATATATCATAAAAAACCTTGAAGTACTAAAAAAAAAATTTTGAAATATCCTGAATTATCTTGAAGTATTTTAAATTATCTGAAATATCTGAATTAACCTAAATTATCTGAAGTGTTATGAATTATTTTGAAATACTTTGAATTATCTTCAAGTATTTTAAATTATCTGAAATATTCTGAATTATCTGAAGTATATAGTGAAATATCAAGTAACTTGAAGTACCGAGAATTATCTCGAAATATCCCAAATATCGTGTTATATCTAAAGAATTATGTAGTCAATGAAACATTTGGAATTATTTAAGATAGTAGTATGTGTATACCAAAATTTTGAAGTTGTAATTCTCGGTTTTAATTTTTTTCATAGACAGATACATGCAACAGTAATAGATTATGGATTCTGGACAACGGTACTGATGATAATAAAACACAAGTGTGTCAGCCTCAATTATTAATTTTTGATCTGAAAAAAAATCGACTAATCGCAAGATATTCCATTCCACGGAAATTTGCACAGGGAAGTGATGGAAAGGGAAGATTATTGCGTGCAATTGTTGAAACCAGTGGCTGGTGGTGTGGAACAACAAAAGTAAAATTCGAATAATTTTTTCTTAAAAATTAAATAATTACCCGAACTACAAATTCTTTATTCTTTTCAATTAGATTTACATGAGTTACTATGAAACAAGTGCAATACTTGTTTGGAATGGTCGTAAATTTTGGCGGATAAGTGGTCCAAATCCAAAAGATCTAGTTGGACCTTTAGCAGTAGCAAACAAATATATTCCAGCACCTGGTGGTATTTTTGGTTTTGCTTTATCACCAAAAATTGACAATAATCCTCAATTCATCGCAATGTCATCTTTAGGAAGTTTTCACGTATTCACTGCAAAAATTGATGATATTCTTGCTTCTGAACCGAAAGTTGGCTTTTTCAAATGGTTATTTAGTCCAATTAGAAATTTATTTAAAAGAGGAAAATCACAGGAAAATGACACAACTATTGAAATTACACGTCATGAATATAGAATGCCAAATCCATCAGCTGCTTTTGCATTCGACTCAAGGGGAATATTGTATGTGGGCGTTAATGCGTACATTAGTTTGGCTTGTGCTAACACTGCGAAAAGCACTGCGAATAAGACAGATGTTCCATATTTTGTGAGTCTTTAAATATTTTAATTCACAATTAATGACAATGATTTTAATTTAGATATATTTAATCTATCATTTAAAAATGATAAAAATATAAAAATAAAATTTTCTTTTAGACTGTCATTGATTCAGATCCGAAGAAGTTACAATTTGTATCTGGGGCTTATACATTTAATTCATCAGTTACAAAAGGAAAAGAAGAAGAACTGTGGATTCTTACAAATCGATATTTAGATTTTGTGTACGACGCTTTGAATTTGACAGACATCAATTATAGAATTATGAAACAAAGTGTAAAAAAACTTACAGATGGCACTAAATGTGCTTAAATTCAAAATTAATAATGTAATATTTTTGGAAAAAAAATCATTGACAAAACTAAAGTTCAAAAATATTGTTTTCATTGACAAAATAAAAACAAAAAAGAAAAGAAAAAAAAGGCATTCGACGTTGTCTCGTATCTTCCTTTTTCGTCCATTCCTTAACGTTTCCAGTTATTCGCAATCAGGATTTTTCACAAACAAGACTTCAGGTTCATCGACTCAAAGTCACTTGTCCCGAACGATTTGTCGGTGCGTTGCAATCAATGTCACATCCTTCAATGGTCATAAAGGATGGCGCAAAAAAAAAGATCAATTTCTATGTCTAAAGGAACGAGAAAATACCCGGAAGTATAGAAAGTTGTTGGTGTGATGATGATGATGATAATGACGATAGTCATCATCATTCTCCATGACATTTCTTCAAAACCAATGATGACGATCAATTAAGTTATATATAGTATATGGCGACCCCCTTCGGCATTTATCAAACGATCTTTGTAATTATCCATATACCCTTTTCTCGTGCTCGAAGCATTTTTTTTAAATTCTTTGATTTATGTCTCTATGATGATTATTACGCACTGAAATTGACAATCAACAATCATTATTATCCGAGCGTGAAAATTATTGTTACTTTATAAAAATCGCTAGATACAAATTGGAAAAAGAAAACATTTCTACATTCATTAGAGGGGAAAAATATATTTGTCTCAGAAATAATAATTCAGCTAAATATAATATAATAATAAATATATAATTTTAAAAAATAAAATAAAAATTATTTTATAATTTGAAAAAATTAAGCCTCATTTTCTGAGGTGCGTTTCTAATTGCAAAGAAGTTGCTAGGCAGTTTTTTTCGAGAGAGAAAATATTGTTGAAGGAGGTACAGTGTTAAGGAACTTCACACAGTAAATGGATTCTTTTTGCCTCCCTCATTTTACATTATTATTATTATTTTTATTTCCCTTTCTTCGTCTCACTCTGCGGTAACCAGCTGCACGTATATAGCTGAATTCAAGTTGGTATATATATAGTGAGAGGTGGATGTTACCGCAAAGACGTGCGGAGAAGGTGCAGCCAAGAAAAGGAGAGATGAAAAGAAAAGAAAAAAGTAGAAGAGAGACTATAAGGCAAAAGAATCACGTTTCCTTGTCTCTCTTTCTCTTTCTATTGGTCAAATCTAATCATTCATCTTTCTTCAACCCGGTCGTATAGCAAAAACCTTGCTATTCATTAGAGTCACTCGCGCTATTAAGATAATTGCTGCGCCAGTGGATCCGCGAGATACCAGATGGCTTTAGATTTCTTCTTCGGTTTTATATTATTCTCAAAAGAATAGAATTTGGATCAAAGATGAATTTCTCTTTTACTTAAATAAAAATTTTTCTTGAGGAATTTCTGAATTATATATATCTACCAATTTCCATTCCCACATTCAAATTTTTTAATTTCCACTCACACTTTTATTCATACTTTTTCCAATTTTCATTCTCACTTCCATTTCCACTTTCACTTTATCTCAATTCCATTCCCACTTCCATTTCAACTTCCACTTTCACTTATTTCCGCTCTTCTATTTCTACAATTTTCGTTTTCCACTCCCATTTTCACTTTTTTCAAATTTCATTCCCACTCCCATTTCCAATTTTTCCAATCCTACTTCCATTTCCACTTTTTCTAATTTCCTCTCCCACTTTCATAATTTTGTTTTTCCACTTACACATTTTCCAATTTCCATTCAAACTTTTGCTTTTTCAATTTCCATTATCACGTCCATTCCCACTTTTTCCTATTACGATTACTGATTCAATTTCCACTTTTCCAATTTCCATTCCTGCTCCCATTTCCACTTTTTCCAAATTCCATTTCAATTTCCTTTTCTACTTTTTCTAATTTCCTCTTCTATTTCTACAATATTAATTTTCCTCTCCCACTTTTTTCAAATTCCATTCCCACTCCCATTACCAATTTTTCCAATCCTACTTCAAATCCTACTTTCATTTATACTTTTTCTACTTTCCTTTCCCTCTTCCATTTCCACTTCCACTTTATCCAAATTCCATTCCTACTTCCATTTCAACTTCACTTTCACTAATTTCCATTTCCTCTTCTATTACTATAATCTCATTTTCCAATTCCATTTTCATTTACACTTTTTCTACTTTCCTTTCCCACCTCCATTTCCACTTCTACTTTATCCAAATTCCATTCCTACTTCCATTTCAATTTCTACTTTCTCTAATTTCCATTTTCTCTTCTATTACTATAATTAACATTTTCTAATTCCACTTCCATTTCCAATTTTTCTAATCCTACTTTTAATCCTACTTTCATTTCCATTTTTCCAATTTCCATTCCTACTATCATTTCCACTTTATAAAATTCCATTCCAATTTCCATTTCAAGATTCTCTAATTTCCTCTTTCATTTCTCCAATTTTCATTTCCACTATTTTCAAATTCCATTTCTACTCCCATTTCCAGTTTTTCCAATTCTACTTCTAATCCTACATTTATTTCCACTTCTTCTACTTTCCTTTCCAATTTCCACTTTATCCAAATTCCATTCTCACTTCCATTTCAACTTTCACTAATTTTCTTTCCCTCTTCTATTTCTACAATTTTTTTTCCAATCCCACTTCAATTTCCAATTTTTCCAACCTTACTGCTAATCCTACTTTCATTTCCACTTTTTCTACTTTCCTTTCCTATACTTCCATTGCCACAATTTTTATTTTTCACTCACACTTTTTTCTAATTTCCTCTCCAACTTTTGCTTTTTCCAATTTCCATTCCCACATTTTCCAATTACAATTACTAATTCTATTTCCACTTTTCCAATTTCTACTTCCACTTCTATTTCCACTCTTTCAAATTCCACTCCCATTCTCATTACCACTTTCATTTTTTCTAATATATATTTTTTTAAAAGAAATTTTTATTAAACACCATTTTTAGGTACCGAATATCTGTTTGACAGAATTTTTATTTTACATAATCACTCTTTACCCAATTTTTTATTTAAAAAATTCTAATTTAACCGAATATTAATTTAGCAGAATTCTCATTCAACAGAATTTTAAATGATTCAATTTTTTAAATGTCAAAATTTTCAATTCATAAAATCTTTGTTTGCACAAATCTTTATTTGCACGAATTGTTATTTGATAGAATTCTCAAAAGATCGAATTTTCATTCATTCAAAATTATAAATAAATTAATAATAAATGGACAGATAGATTTCAGTTGGAATATTAAAATTAACCAATCAGAAATTATCAAGGAAATCGTGGAAGTGGAAATTAGAAAAAGTGGTAAAGGAAATTGAAAAACGTGGAAGTAGAAGTAAGAAAAAGTGAAAATGGAAGTGGGAGAGAAAATTAGTAGAAGTGGATAAGAGAATAAGAATAGCAAAAGTGGAAATTAGAATGGAAATAGAAGTGGATTTACATAATTTACCCCCAGGTAAAAAACATATTTCTATTACAATGAAAATTTTAATTGGATTAGATAGTACGATAGAAAATTAAGGAATCCGTCAGAGTATGTAGGTTTCCTTTACCAGTTCGTAATCAATTCTCCACATTCAATTTTTGTTAGCATTATAACCAAAAAATTTATACTACTATTTGTTTCTTTTTTTATTGTCCCATTTTTTAAAAATAAATAAATTTTACCAAGAGGAAGAAATATATGTTTCTCACATTATTTTTTTCATGACTGACCGGTTTTAAAGAACGAGGAACTTCATTTCAGAATTTCGTAATCCAAAAAGCTACTTGAAAAACATATTGCCAGGACCTGATGAGTGTATGCCTGGATCCTTTCTCACATTATTATTTTTAGCTGACCGGTTTCGAGAAGCGAAAGGAACAAGATAAATGATCTTTTAAGGTCCTAAATATATATATATATGAAACTTGAACGTCAAAAATCGACGTAATTTCAATATATTGCTTAATTCGAAAAGTCATCAAAATATTCGTTTTTTTTTGGTAAAAAGAAGATAATTTCTAGATTAGGGAATAAGAAAATGTTATACAGTGATATAAATTCTCGAAGAAGAAATTTCTACCTCCTAACCTTTTCTTCATTTGTCGACATCGACTTGGGTTTTACGAGACAAATTATGAAAGAGCATGTTTGTAGTACCCTATAACTACATCTTCATTGCAAGCTGAACCAAGTCTCTCGAGTTAAAAGAATTGACGGGAGACGAATACGTGAAGGAAGCTGAGTCTTGTCTTGTACCAAGAATCGGCATCCTTTGGTACTTCATTGGGACGTAACCATAGGCTAACCCATTCTGCATCGATCCCCCAGGGGATCTGTTCGACGACATCGCGAGGACAGCAAGGAATGTGATTTGATGATTCCTCTTAGAAGATAGATCCTGCCGTCGGCGTTGCAAGACAAACGACAATTTACAATAAAATCAATATCAAACAAATATAATTTAAAATTAAAAAAAAGAAAAATTCAATTTTTATTTATCTTTAGAAAGAAATTTTCTTCTTTTTTCAAGTTCGATTCTTTTTTTGACAAGTGTTGTTGAACGCAAGAAAATAATAAGGTTATAGACAAAATTTAGAAAAAGGGTTTGATTTAGGCAACAAAATGTTTGGTTGGGGATTTAAGAAACCAACATTTTTCTGTTGCGTCTGCAAAATTTTGATTATCCCAACGAAACTTTAGTTAGGACAACAAAAATTTTGAAGCAACAAACCAATTTTGGTTGCTTCAATACCAATTAAACAGTTTGTTATCAAAACCGAACTATTTTTTCAGTAAATTACTATTATACGAACAGTAATTTTTGATAACTAATACAGCTTCTTATTAGATTTCAATCGAACCATATTTTCATTAAGATTCGATGGTCAGTAATCTTATAAATTCTGAACAATTTTCTTTTAAGAGAATCTTATTAGTAATAGGGAAATCTAGACAAGGTCCACATGAGAATTCTATTAAAATTTCTGCATGGGTATATATAAAATAAAATTGTCAGAAAATTTTTTTTATGATCTTAATGACTGATGTGGAAGTTATAATAATATCACGTGCGTTTCTACGCAGGAAAACGATGCGCATGGCAGGGGTGATTC